GGGGGGGGGGTGTTTTTGTTTGGAGGTTTCGTTTTTTTTTTTGTTGAGATTTTTTATTGGTTTCCCCCCAGACACCCCCACATTTACCCCACCCCCCCACCCCAAAAACCTCACCCCCCCACCGCCCCACCACACACACACCCTTCCCCAGGAAGATACATACATATTCTGACACGGCCACACAGCCCGGAAGACCCACACCAGCCATCGTATTCCGGCCGTGAAAGCTTTCAACAATACATAGAAACTAGCTGAACTAATTTCTTTCACAATGCAAAGGTATCTTCTGGCAAATAATATAACTTTCCTTTCAATCCTTGTTATCAGATATAAACTTTATTTTATAAAATGCAATTCTTTCAGTTTTACCACTTGAAAGAAGAAAACAATTAATGAGTGAAAAGTAATGAAAATGCATTTAACATGCCAACAACAAATACTTCATAGTATGGACTATTAAGACCAGCTGAGTGGCTGCCCTTAGCTGAACTTGGCTGATCTAAACTAAGCAGGACCAGCCCCGGTTAATATTTAAATGGGAGACCATCAAGAAATTACAGGGCTTCAGGATAGACTAAGAAGTGAAAAAACCTCTTGGAAGAAGGCAATGGCAATCATATCTATACTGTTTTGGGGAGTTCAGTACTACATGGACATATCCTTGAAGACAAAAGTTCAACTTGACTCAAAGGAAGTATGAGCATTTTACAAGCATTAAATCCAGCAATACCATTTGTTTAAAGAAATGTATAGTCCAACAGAAATACAACAATCACAGCATAAAATGATTCTGTGAATTTCAATCCAAAATAATTCTGAGTAATGTAAAATGAGATTTGCTCACATACACAATCCATACAATTACATTTGCACAAAAAAAAAGGCAAAAGAAGAAAATCAGATTGGAATGAACATAACAGATGTAAAAGACACATTTGATTATTAATGTATAGTACTCACCATCTCTTTAGCTATTTCCACAGCTTCTTGCAGCCCATAGAGCCTGCCACAGACTAGGTAAATCCCATTGGCCCAGAGAATACAGCCCTCATGGACCCAAAATTCATTGCTGTCAAGAGGTAGTTCAGGAATTTGTAACTCCAACTCAGGACCACCTTCAGAAGTAGATATGGGGGGTTTAGAGTCTGAAGGAGTATTTTCACCAACACTGCCACTCTCAGCAGTTGCTTTTTTACAAGCAGTGCCTCTTGAAAGTGACCGAGAAGTCCCAGCACAGTCCTCAGAGCGATGTCGTCTTTTAAAACGCGGGTGGGCAGCCAGGCTTCTCTGTTCTTTTTGCTGTTGCTCCTCTTCTTCTTCCTCTGTGTCAGTCTTGGAACCATTAGAAACACTTTTATGTCGTACTTTGACCTTGTTTTGCATTTCTGTGGCCTTCTTAGGAGGGGGGTTCTTAGGCAGTGTGGCTGCATAATCTTGTGGATAGAAAGGTCCAAAGAGATCACCCATGTTGCGATAGCTGGCCCATTTGCCACAAAGGCAACAGACAAGATGGCCCATAACAGATGACTCTGTTACAACAGGACCTTGTAGCATAAAAGAAGAAGTAGGCAGTACTTTACTCTCAGCATTGCTGGGAGGTGGCGTTGATGACCTCTGTCCTTTTCGACCCCTCATCAGTTTATTCTGCTCTTCTTCTTCTGCATTAATTATTGTGCACACAGCACCTAGCTCACACTTGTTTACCACATGAATATAGGGGAAAAAAGATTTATTCCTAGTATCACTTTTATCAAGAGATTGAATAGCATATTTTAGTTTGATTTCTGGTTCTTGAGGCTCCACAATGGGAGCAGCTCGTCTTGGTTTCCGCTTTCGTGGTTGTGCTGTAGTTTTCCTCCTTTCCCTTCGCTGCCTCTTAGGCTTTGGTTCACCACCTACTGCCTCCTCTGATAACTGCATTGCTTCTGGCACTAATGGAAGTGGCAATTGTTGCTGCTTCTTTTGCTTGTTTACACTACCAATAGGTCTTCCCTTCTTCTTACCAGAAGGAAAATATCCCTTTGGAGGAAAGGGATCTGGCTTCGGTGTCATAATAATTGAACCTCCATCTTTTTCTTCAGGCTTTGAATTTGTTTCAGGAGACAAAATATTGGATGGGGGAATTGATTTTGATTCAGAAAAATTTATAGATCCATCTGTTCTTACTAGACCAACAGATTTCTGTGAAGATGCTGGAATCAGGACAGGCACTGAACCATCCTTGCCAACAGTACTATGTTCAGAAACCTCTTTTTTCACTATCTCATCTCCATCATCATGCCATTCTTCAGAAGATATTGTCCGAGAAATTTCACTAGTCAGTTCTTGACTTTCTCGATCTAACACAACTTCTTCTTTTATATTTTCTGCTTCTATTTCATGATTGGCCACGTTCCCACTGTCTGGACGGCCACTCTTCAGAGACAGAATGTCATCAAGAGTGACTGCATCTGCACCAGCCTCAGCACAATTTGAAGATGTACTCTTCCTAACACTGGGAGAGGTGATTTTCTGAACAATAGCTTCCAACTTTAATCCACGTCCCTTTCGTGGAGGAAGAATTTTTGTTTTAGCTGGGCTTGTGATGGAAACAACAGAACAGTTTCTATTATCAGGACTTGGAAGATGCCTAGAGGATTCTCCTTTTGAGAGTGACCTGCCAACATCTTGGTTTTGAGAGGAGTGGGCATAAGAATTGAGGGTTTTGTCAACTCCATCCTTTGATGATGGAAGTAGGCGTCCTTTGTCATCAGTACCACTAGTCTTCATTTCCTGCAACTGCCTCTTGCTAGGAATAGGAGAAATGAATGAGCGGACCCGCCTTCTCATTATTAAAGGATTTTGAGGAGATTGATCTTCTTGGCCAGGAATTCTTACCATAGTATTAGCAGATTTAAGTACATCACCAACATCATCACGCCTATGTGCATCACTATCTTGTGAAACAAATCTCTTCTGACTTGTTGTCCCTAGAGAACCACTGTTCTTCCCAGGAGTTATCTGACGGGAGAGATCCCAACCTGATTCATGTTGCTGAATCTTTTGATTCATGTGTTTTATTTCTACACACTTATTCTGAAGAGTGCTTTCACCCCCCAACAAACAACGGCTAGTTTCTTGGCATCCGGCATCATGGTAAGATCCAGAATGGAGATACATCATTCCATCCTTGTCATTTTTTAAAGGACTCCTTACCCTATCTAAGAATTGTTGCTGTCTTGGGCTCTTCCTAGCTGTTTCCTGCCTATGTTGAGCTGCTGCAATCACACCCTGAGCAGAGCTGCTACTCCACTCTTTATAATCTTCTTGTTGTTGATGGTACAGCTGTCTTTTGTAGTGGTACTGAGAATTCAATCCTTGATTAGGGTCACCATAAACATGGGATCGGGAGTTACTGTGATATGCTGAAGCCAAAGATGAACTTTCAGAATTTGAAGGGAAAGTATGTAAGGAACTCCGGTTGACCCTGTCAGAAAGCACCATATGTGGGTTCATCTGGTGAAGATCTGTCCCTGGACCTCTGTTTCTACCAGGTGACATTTTTAACTTATCTGCCAGATCATGAAATTGAGAAGGAGATTTACCTCTCATTCCCTCCCGGCTTCCTATTCTGCTAGGTCCTCGCCTCAACTGTGCTGTTCGACTATCCTGCTGTAACAGGTAGTCTGATGCGGAATCAAGTGTTGCAGCTCCAGGGCTAACATTCCCTCGGTAAGATTCATGTTTAAAACTGGCATGGTGACAATGATCTCCTGATTTTTTGTTGCTGATGTTGACAGAGGTCTTAGATTGTTCAAAATCCTCCTCCTTAATCTGCGCACTGTGAGACTTTAGCTTAGCTTCTATGGTTACCAGGCCACCAGGGAGGATAACCGACTGATTTAAACCAGACGTCAGACGGTCACTTCTTGCACTCCTGCCATCAGTACTCATATGCCCTCCAGAATGTGGCCCAGGATCTCTAGCAATCTGCCTCAAAGGTGATATATCACAAATAACTGATCTTCTCTCAGAGACTCCCCCACCTTCATGAGCTGTAGAATCTAACTCAAACTTTCTAGGCATAGGGTAGTCTGCCAAATTTATCTGTTTCATCTCAGCTGCAGTGCCACTTAATTTTCTATCCCAATGTCCCCAGTGTGAACCTTCCATGAGAGATCCAATACTTTTATTTAAAAGGCCTCTATTACTTAGTTCATTTGTTTGATTAACCAAAACATTGGGTCTCATGCTACTTTCTAAACTTCCACTCATTCCATGCTGATCTTGGGCATTTCTAGAATATCTCCTGTCAGGATGATGGTGATAGCCTTGCAGGACTTCCTGCAATAGACTGGGAAATTTCTCATTCCTGCCCTTTCGCTCACTATGCACTGAAAACTCCCCTTTATCCTGACCTGAAGGATACTGTGAAAAGGTACTGGCATTTCTTTGCATACTAACCCCAATACTGTCTTTGAAGCTGTATCTCAAACTACCAGGGGATTTAGAAGGCTCTGTTCTGCTTGAAAAACTAGAGCCAATAGCAGCATGACCAAGTGGATTGTTTCCATCTCCATTGTGATTAGTACTGCTGTCCCCAGTTCTGCTTCCTTTATTTCCTCCTTGTGGCTCTTGCTGTGCTCCTATAAGACCAGTCTCTTTCATTGCAGTGGCAGAAGATGGTGCTTGAGCACCTGTAGAAGCATCGTCTTGTTGGGATTTATCCTGTCCACTTGACTTTTCTACTCTTCCTGACATAGCTTCTCTGGAGACTATCACACCAACTGCCTTTTCATTGATCTTTGGGGGGGTCTCCACAGAAATCAAGGCTTCTTTTCCATCAGGAGGGGAGGCCACTTCTTCCTCAACTGCAGAGCTGTTGGTGACCTTTGGAGGTTCATTCTGAGATGGCGGTGCTGGGGATGACTGGGATTTCTCTAAATTACCTCCCTTGTAAGTGGTGTCAGAACTGGTGCTCTGACCACTCAATTGTCTCACTCTTTCTCCTTGATCCTCTGAACTACTGGAACAGCCACCATCAATGGACTCTGCTAGTGGAGACTTAAGCTGTTCTTCTGCCTGGGAGGAGCCTTCTGAGTTTGTGCAGCTCTCTGTCTTTTTTGATGATTTTTTTGAGCTTTTCTTCTGAGGTGCCAAAGCATCTGAGAGTAACATGTGCTGAACTGTATTAGGAAGATTAGCTACTTGACTACTTAGGGCACTTAGACTGCTTAGTCCTGGATCTGTAAGTCTTTTTTCCTGCAAGCTTTCAAGCCCAAATCCTTTGAATCCTCCACCCTGAGCACTGGGGCTTGGCATCATGGATGCCGTTGGACTAAGCTGAGGCATCATTTGTAAAATGCGATTTCTAGAAGCGACTGGAATGTTGCTTTGTCCACATTGAAGATTCTCACCACTTGGCATGAGAGGAGATGGCGTGGAACTGCAGCTTGGAGACTGAACCACAGAGGCAGCTGGTGAAGGGTTAGATATAGGACTAAAATTCTGGTGGAACTGCATGGGTGATCTTACAGGGACCTCAGTTTGATTGTACTGCCCCACTTGACTTTGAAGAGACAGCTTGGAAGCAGTATTTGAATACTGCATTGCATGTTGTGAAGGAGCCTGCTGCTGTTGTGATTGTTGTCCCTGTCCTTGTGCCTGTTGACTCCCTTGGGTCAATTTTGACTGCTCAAAGTTTTTCATTGGCTGTGTCTGAAAGCTGTAATTTGATTGAGTCCCATAAGCTTGTGCACTTGAACCAACAGCATGTCCTTCATACTGTGAAGGAGCGTTCACAGTATAATTACCATCATAGTTCTGTCCAGACTGACCAAACCGTTGAGGAGAAGGAAATGAAGAAGAGGAAGAAACAGGAGGCTGATAGTGCTGACTATACTGACCTACTCTTAACTGATAGCTAGAAGTAGATGAAGGCAGAGTTGAAGGGCGCTGAATTGACTGCAAATGAGACGTGCTAGAGGCAGATTGGTTAGAGGCCTGTGGTAAAGGCTGATGAGACTGATAGAGCTGCTGCCTCATTTGCTGCACTTGTTGCTGTTGTTGGCTAGAAGTCTGCTGCTGATACTGAGCAGTGCCAGGGGAGAAAGGACCAGTATAGTCCTGCTGATAATGTGTTACTCCGCTAAGTGATGAGTGTTGTGTTTGAAACTGGCTCACATGACTTTCACTTCCATACTGACTCCCAAAGCTACTCCCTTGGGGTGGTCCATAGCTCTGTACTGGTCCAGAAGGCCTACGCTGAGGAAGCTGTTGTCCTCCTCCTGATACAGGATCCTTACTGGAAACCATATAGTAGAATTCTCCTGCTTCTTTTCTGAAACCTTGATAGCTCTGATGTCCAGAGCTCTCACTACCCATTGATGCAGAGTTTCCTGTTGCTTCACGGCGCCCACTAGTGCTGCCACCTCCTCCAAAGCTCTGAAACATCTGAGCTTGCTGGCGAGTGCTAAATTCCTCTAGTCGGGATGCACCATGTATTTCCTGTGGGTAGTTCTGTTGGTTTCCGTGGTAACTGCTCTGCTCCCTAAAGGACTGCATGCTGTTCAGCTGTGTACTGACAGCTTAACAGCCTGCCTGAAAGAGAAAAAAAGAGATAAATAAATGAGCATAACAGTTCACACTCCTCAACTCACAGAAATATACATATTATCAACTAACTGACCTACTATTGTTTCCACTTTAGGAAACGAAGGGCATGGATTTCTGATCTAGAAATAGAATAGGATACCAATGATTATATTTTATAAGAACACTTTAGAAGATTGTTTTTATTAGCTATTTTCCACATATTCTATGCTAGACTGCTGTGACAGGTATCAGGACAACCCCAGCCCCAAAATAGCAGTTGTTTACAATAATATGACACAGCAGAGGATATTTGAACTGGATAAACTTTGGAATAGTTTTAAAATATCTATTTGGTGTGAAAACACAAGTATCTATTGTGTGAAAAATACAGAATATACATCATATTAATCAAGGAGAAAATACCATGATCTATGAAGTGAATTCCAGCTCTGGAAAAATAATCACTAGGTTGGGCATAATTTAAAATTGCAAGTGTGCAGTCACCCATGATGCTTTTGGATTTTATGAAAGATGTTCCTACATTCCCATTTTCCCACTGTCCCAAAATTCAAATAATATTACATAAACAGCAATATTAATATTTGTACACAGTCATGCACCCAGCAAAGCTAAAAATCTGAATACGAAGAGGTTCAGCACTTAAACCAAATTTCCAATTTAAGCATTAATGTGAAATAGTTAGCTTCTGGATACTCCCAAAATGCTTCCCTGTGACTCTGTATATATTTAATTCAGATTATGTCTATCTTCAGATATATAAATACAGTCTGATTTAAGTATTTGTTCATCAAAAGCTAAGTATTTATTTCAAATCACTAAAAGTTGAGGCAAGTACTAAACAATTAAAATTATTCTAAGGCCTGCTAGTGAAACCAAATAAATCCATTAGTAGTCAGGATATATAATTGAATCAAACCAATTAATTTACCTCCTCAACAATCTTTAGGCACCAGAACATAACCAAACTTGGCTGATTCCAGAAGCTAAGTAGGTTAACACTTGGATGGGAGATTGCTCAAGAATTCCAGAGCTGTAGGCTAGAGTAAAATAGAATATACTGTTTTGAATGTTGGTGCTGGAGAAGACTCCTGAGAATACCATGGACAGTCAAGAAAACAAACAAATGGATCATCAATCAAATCAACCCAGAGTTCTCACTTGAAGCACAAATGACCAAGCTCAAATTATCCTACTTTGGACACGTTATGCAAAGATCTAGCTCTCTTGAGAAAGTTCCAATTGAGGGGGGGAAAGGTAGATGGAAAGAGAAGAAGAGGACATCCAGCAGCAAGGTGAACAGATTCAGTTACAGTGGTGATGGGTGTTCCACTGAAAGAGTGGAAAAACCAGGATGGGGACAGATCATAATGGTGAAAATCTATGTCGTTGCTAAGAGTTGACAATGATTTGATGGCACATAATCAATCAATCAGGCTAGAGCAGAATGGTGAAAAAAAATCCTAGAAGAAGGCAGTAGCAAACCTCTTAAGTAATTTTGCCAATAGTATTGCATGGATATAGTCACCAGGAGTTAAGCTCAACTTTAGGGTGCCCCTACCTTTACTACACAAGAATGATATGATAGCAAATATATATGAAAAAATATTGATAGACTAGAAAATGGATAGACTAACACATCTGAAGAGGCAAATACCTTATGAAACTGCAATGTTAGGTGGGGAGTAGCATTAGGCAATGTTGCCCATCTATCAATTATACTATACAGCAAAAATATGTAGATTCAGTCAATTTTTGTGAGCAAAATAAATGTTATGCCCATTTTTAGTTTGTTGTAAAATTTGTGAAATAATTTATTTGAATGAACTTTGATTCTGTTTTAAAATAAAAAAAGCTATGTCTTCTCTTATTATGGAAACCACTTTTCTGCAAGATTTTCTGTAAAAAAGTTGTAATGTTATGATCTACAACCACATGAACATGGTTGATTATAGGAGTATTTCCCATAGAAGCCGCACACTCCAACAGAAGAGAACTTCTATTGAGTTCTGGCTGCAGGCCTTCCAAAATGTTACAACTCTGCTCTGAGATAACAGAGAAAAAATGAATTCCCATAGCAAGCTAAGATATACAGCACTTGGAAAAGGCCATGTCTCTAGGATCAAGTAAGTACAACTATTTGCACTGGTAGAAATCACACAAGATACAAAAATCTTATTCAGTGGCAGAGGGCTTTAAGGAATTGATGCTTCAAACTTAATGTAGGGGAAATCCTATCAGAAAGTAAAAATTTAAAGATCCTGGAATTTATTTTTAGTTGCAATGTGGGAAAAATGGACTTTTACACCTTAGCAACTACAGACAAAAAATGGAATTTGACTCTTTATGTAAAAATGGGAATGTTACTCTCAAAATTTATTTATTCCGTGGTACAGATATACATTCAGCCATGTTCACAGTTATTAGATCAGTCCTTCCAAGAAAAAGGTACTTTCTCCAAGTCTTGATTTAAGTTAAACTAAACATTATAGCACTGACTCTGCCACATTACTTTGAGCTACATAAACTTATTGTCCTACCTTGTCCTACCTAAATGGATAATTTAATAATATAATTGCATTTCCAACACTGAACCACCTGCAAATTAAAAATGAAGAAAATTATCTAATTTTAATTTCAAAGGAAGCCTTCCACAATGTCCAGCAGTGGAAAATGCTTTTTTTTTTTTTAAATTGGAGTCATTCAACAAGTTTGAATCTCAAGTGTAGATTTGCATTCTGTGAAATGGGTGATGGAGCATGGGCACCATGTCCAGATAAATGCCAGAAAACTAAAAATATTTGCAGACTCCATTTGCTGAATGGAGAAGCAGTGAATGGGAAAAAGTAATATATTAAGAGATCAGGATTAGAGTATTACTCCATTTTAGGCAGTTTTTTGTGAAATGTAAAATTGATGAAATACTGTCATATAAGGACTCTGCAAATTTTACAGCAAACTAAAAATGGGTATAAAATTTTTTTCATTCACAAAAATTCACACTTCAAGGAATATACACAAATCAAGGATGTCTAACTTTTTCTGGGCGAAGCGCTTTATTTGGCTTTCAAATGGCACATCAGAGGACACATTCCAAAAGTAGTGGGTGGGGTCAGAACAAAAACTAAAATTATTTTTTCTCATTTATAATTCATTAAAATTAATAATAGTTTAAATTATTATGTTCCAGTAATGTCTTTAACTCCATTCCTTCTGTCATATTAAAATTACCATCGGATAATAACATTTGGAAGCTTTACTCTGATATAGATTAACATTCTTTCCTTTCATACCCATCATACTCTAAGCAGATATATTCATCATATGAAACATACGTGTACACACACACACTCACACACACAGAGTATATGAAGTATGAACAGATAAACTTTAAGCAGCTATTTGATAAAATAAAAATGTGGCTGGCCAGTTTGTGATTAAGTGCATCTTAAGAATAGAGTCTATATCTATACCTTGATTTTCCTCCTAGATGCTCAGGGAAAAATATGTGATTCCTCCCACCCACTTTCTTCAATCCTTGATGTGAGACTAAAAGAGAAGGACTGGCTTAAAATCATCTAGTGAGCTTTATTGTCAGACCACGGTTACTCCAACACTTTACTAACCTAATACATGATGACTGATGCTGACTGTGACTGATGAGAGCTGAGTCTAACATATGAAGGGCATCAAGTGGCAGAAAGTTACAAATCTGTGGGAAAATCTGTACTTTTTTCCCTTCAAACTTTGTGCAAAATCCGCATAAGATACGAAAGACAAATCTTATCTACTTTACCTACTAGGAAGTGTTCTAGGAAATCAATGATTTAGGAAGTGGTATGAAATATACCATATCTATTTAACAACTGTTCCAGAGTCCTGATCTAAGTTCAGCTTCTAAACAAATTAAAATTAAAAACAAATTAAATTGCAATATGAGAAACAGAAGGACCCAACAATCAGCCTTACATCTTCCATCCACAGTAACACACACTATTTTTCTTTACCTGATTTATATGTTCAAAATGAATATTCAAGCTGGCTTTCAATTTAAAACTTATATACAAAAAAGTACATAGTGTAAGAGAGAATAAAAATAAAGTTATGTCAATACAAAGTCATCAGTCAAATTACTTTACAGGTAGTCCTCACTTAACAACTCGTTCGGCGACTGTTCAAACGTATAACAGTGCTGAACAAGTGGTACACCATTTGTGACCTTCTTTGTCAACTTCCTACAAGTAAAGTCAACAGGGAAGCTGGCAGGAAGTCATGAGCATGTGATATCTTTGCTTCATGACCTCAGTGATTTGCTTAACAACGGCAACCAGAAGTGCTGGAATTTCCTTTGCTAAGTGGTGCAGTCATGTGATGTTGCACTTTGTGACCCTGTTGCTTAGCAATGGAAATTCTACTCCCAATTACCATCGTTAAGTGAGGACTACCTGTATACTAATTTTTTGTTTCATTGTGGGAATAATGTATTTGAACTGTTGTAAGCTGCTAAGACTAGAGTTAAAACACTAGAAGGATAATATATACTTAGGGATAATATATACTTACACAAATAAATAATACTTCCCAATGTTACAATAAACTGACTGCATAATTGAATTTTAAAAACTAGCAGTAAGAAGGTAAAAGCAACAAGCCTGCTTGAGATTTTAATATTTCTAAATCAGATACTACACAGATCACAATTTTGGCAAGTAAAAAATATCAACCCTAAATATCACTACCACTCTCCCTACACATACATACTGATTTATTCCATTCAATGTAACTACTGTTGCTACTATCTTTCTTGCATATTATTGCTATAAATGGTGATATTCCTGTGGTTACTACTGTTTCCTGAATTGACAATTTAAATGTGGCTGCTTTTATCACTGATGTCACTGAAAAAAAATCTTCACCATTCTCCCAGCAGTTCTATTATAAGTGACACTGTTTTCCCTGAAGGAACAAAAAGGTGGAAAAGGAGATGC